GGTTGCTTCTCTGATTTTCCAGCACCCATTCCCCCTCCCTAACAGCACGACTCTGTTTTGCAGAATCTTCTTTCCCTGTCCCTGCTCCCATCCAGCAGGTCTCTGACTTCCAAGCTGGGCCAAGGGATGAGCTGCCGGGAGATATGACCCTCAATCCAGAGAGTCAAGGTGAGACACAGTACCGGGATGGCGTTCCTTCTGGTGCTGATGTCTGAGAGGGAAGGCGGGGGGCTACTAGCCCCCCAGGCAACCCTGGTCCTTATCCTGCCTTTTTTCTGCTTCTCAGTCTGGTTCTCCACTGTTCTTCCCATCTAAAAAATCTAACACACACCCCTCAGTAAAATTCCTGTTGCCTGAGAGGGCAGTAGGTAGTGGGGATAGGAGACTGGCATTTCTAGCTGATATCTGAGCCCCATGTGACTTGGACTATGGATGCCAACAGGATACTCTAAATCAACTGATTTATAGGCTCTGATGCCTACATACATTTAAATGTACGGGGGTATTTTGTTTTTAAAATAAGATGAAAAACTTTGGTGGCTGTCAAGCAGGCAAACATATGCAAACCATGGCGGGATGGGTCGTTTAGGCTCCTGAGGCTGAGGACCTGCTCTGTCCTCTGCTGCCATCAAGTCTACGGTGCTGGGGGACACGGGATGGTGAGCTGTCGCCTCAGGGAGCTTCACGCTGACTTAGGAGTGGGAATAAAAGGGTCTAGCCCCACACCGATGATACTCCCCTGCTCTCTTCTCCTCCCTACACTGCCCCTCTGGCCGAACTCAAATATTCCAATTGTTTTAAGTCGATCACTCCCGATTCTCCACCTTGTCCCCATTTTCACTTCCAAAATCCAGTCTCACATTTTCTATTGCCACCACCAGCATGAAATCCCAAGGACGCCTCAAACTTATTAAATCTAACCTTTGAGCATCAAGCGATGTACAGGGATATAGGGGAATAGAGTAAAAAACAAGAAATGGGAGGACAATGGTTTTGGAGCAGCAGCATCTTAGGTCTGCAGCGTCCCTGCCTCCCCGTGCATCACTTGGCACTGGACATGCAGTGGGCACTTCATAGCTGCTCCCTGAGTGAATGCCTTCATGAAGGGCTCTAGCAGCCCCTCAGCAGTGAAACCTGGGGAGTCCCACCACGCCTTCCTTCCTACTCCCCGCAGGCCGCCCTAGCTCAGGCCCTCACCGCCTTGTCTCTGAGCTACAGGATCTTAATTGGTCTCCCCTCTTCAGCTTCCCCACTCCAATCCACTTTGATGATAAATCTTTCCCAAGCCAAGGTGTCGTAGTATTTGTCATGTACACACATGTACCGACTGTGTGCCTGGCCCTGGGCTGAGGGCCTCACACACAGCAGCGTGCCTGCTCTTCAAAGTCGCCGTGTGAGGTCAGGACTCATTGTCCCCTCGCTACAGGGTTGAAAGCTGAGTGGAGAGGCAGCACAGCTCCCCAGCCGTGCAGGTGGAGCATACACTGGCCCCACACCTGGGTGCCTGATAACAGCATTGTTCTGTTGGGCTGTACATTGTATATATTTTTAATTTTTTGCATATTGCCATGTTTTGACATCTAAAAAAATTCCTTGTTTTGACATCTAAAAAGTCTTTCTATCTGAGGAGAGACTGCAGCTCCTGGGCCAGTTCTTAGAAAAAGGAAAGGGCCCAGTGGTGAGCATGCCTTTGAGGTGCAAACTGACCCATCAGAGCTCTCCCTCCTTTACCTGGGCCTTGCACCCCAGGAGGCAATACCGGCTGCCCTAACCATCCCAGGGACAGTTCTGTGGTCTGGTTGTTCCTATCTCCCCAAAATGTAGGGTCAAAACCCTAACCCCCCAAGGTGATGGTATTAGGAGGTGGGGCCTCTGGAAGGTGATCAGATCATGGGAACTCTGGGATTAGTGCCCTTATAAAAGAGGCCTGAGGGAGCTCATTCGGCCCTCACACCATGTGAGGACACAGCAAGAAGGCACCCTCTGTGACCCAGGAAGAGGCCCCTCACCAGACACCACATCTGCCAGCACCTTGATCTTGGACTTCTCAACCTCTAGAACTGTGAGAAATAAGTGACTGTTGTTTATCAGCCCCCCAGCCCGTGGTATGTGTTACAGTAGCCTGCACGAACGGAGACAGCCGGGCACCAGACAACTAGGCACCATCTATGTCCAAAGCCCACCACAGTGACTCCGAAGCTCCTCGCCCTGCCCCGCCTTGCCTTTCCCACAGAAACCCCAGTAAAAGTCTTAGCCCAGCCTTCCCCTGGCCCTGCCTTCTGCTCCTGACTGTCCTGGTGTCCTTTCCACATGGCCCAGCACAGCACCCTCCTGGCTCTAGGACCCGTGAGTATAAGGGACTCTTTCCAAGCCTCTCCTGTGTCTCCTTCTGTGGCTGCACCCGACGGCCATCTTGTAAAAAAAGAAGAGCTTCTCATTCAAACATTTGTAATTGCTCCCCAAAGTGTACAAAGAAATAATAATAGGTCCTTCAATCCGACATTCCAGAACTTTCTGTCTCTTCCCAGCGCCCTTCCAGGTGGATCTCTCCCTTAGCGTCCGACTTGGCAACTTGGGACTCTTCCCTCATGCTGGCTTTGCTCCTCCCCTTGCTTAGACAGTCATTTCTCCACATGTTCAACTCCCACCTCTTGTGGAGGGCTAAGGTCATGAAATACCTGGAACCTCCTTGTGAAAATACGTCTGCGTAACCTTACCGTGGGCCCTGTAGTAGCGCTCCTGTGCTGACTGTGGCCTCCTGAGGTGTGTCCTGGTGGCACCATCGCCTCTCCCAGGCTCTGGAGCAGGGAGAAATGGCCTCTCTCATGCCCTCACCTGCAGGGAGCCTCCCAGTCGCCTCTGCATTCTCAGCAGCATTCGATGAGTGACCAGAAGGGAAGTTCTTCCTCACAGCCCACGTGAATCTTCCTTAAAGAGAGGCCATCTGCCTCCACATCTCTAGGAAGGAGATCTCCATCTCGCCAGCCTGTGGCCAAGGAGGTCAGCATGTCCAAACCTCTTCATAAGAACCCCAGGGCAGAAATAATGGATCACTCTTTCATGACACACAGTAACCCTCTTCCCAGCTGAGCAATTTGGTGTTTTAAAACTTTAAATTCATTACTCCAGGTCATTAAAAATAATCATGTGTTAAAAATAAATATTCAGTATACGAATTAACAGTTCACAGGCAAGTTTCTTTTATTTCTTTTTAAGCCCCTGAAATCCCAAGTTCTCTCTTTCCCCGGTTTAATGAAATTCGAAAGCACGCCTGTGTTCTGCCAGGGTCCGAGTGACCCTATGTTAAAAAGACACCCTTAAGGCAGAGCAGGTGTTTGGTATGGACCTGGCTGTAAAAACACATTGAGTAATTTTTAAAAGTGCAGGGTATGTGGCATTTTTTTGTTTGTTTGTCTGTTTTTTAACCATTGAGAATCCCTTCTTTCTGTTCTCCCAGCCAAAATAGTCTCAGGATTCTTCCCCAAAAGAGTTTCCAGGGGCAACTTAACAAGTGCAGAAAATTCAGAGGAATCTGTGCTAGCCTGATGCTTCCAAGTCCTACCCTGGAATAAAGTACACAAGTTAAATGCAGGGAAAGTTATGCTGGGAAGCTGTGCTAGTAACTGGGAAAAAAAGAGTAGGTTCTTTTGGGCAGCTCGGTCTGTGTGGCTCCCAGATCCTGATCCACAGGTGCTTGGTGCCCTCCTCAGCCCTGCCTGCCCTCCAGGAAGTGAAAGAGCACTTAACTGCCCTGTGGGTCTGCCCTCTCCCATAGGCCATAGTCCTTGGAACCAGGGGTTGGAAGGGCTTATGCCCTGAGTAGTAGAGAAAACTGCTCACGCATTTGAAGAACTGCAGCTGATTTTCAGGCAAACTTCCTGGTGACCTAGTTGCTGAGATGCCTAAGGCTTTCAAATGCTTACCTGTCTTCCTCTGCAGTAGGGCTTGGGAGGCACATTCAAGCCCAAAGATTTCCTCTTTGGACTTTCATTTTCATTTTGTAAAATGTTGTCCAATTCTCTAGGTTGGTGAAGTAAATTTTGGATCTTAGTTCTGTCACCCAGTATCTCCTCCCAGCTTTGTGTGCTCAAAAGCCTCCAGCTACTCAGGTGGCTGAGGCAGGATAATCGCCTGAACCTGGGAGGCGGAGGTTGCAGTGAGCCAAGATTGTGCCACTGCACTCCAGCCTGGGCGACAGAGCAAGACTCTGTCTCAAAAAAAAAAAAAAAAAAAAAAAAAAAAGAGGCTCAAGTTGGCGAACGTCCCAAATGCCCTTTCAGCAGTCAGGCTTCTTCCCCCCATCGGCAGGAGATGAGAGACCTGGCAGACAGGTTGTGCCTCGGACTCGCTGCTTTCTGTCCCTTCATTCCCCTCAGACCTGTCTTAATTTCACTATTGCCATGGCTTTCTTCTGTGCTGTTCAGATGTTTCAGCTTTCTCATAGAATTGAGAACACGGGACTCTGAGATCTCCCCAGGAGAGAGGTGGAATCAGGATCTCCCTTCATTTGCCCACCTGACCATCACCCCTTCCTCTCTTAGCTGGACCAAGACTGGCTTATGTCCCATATGGAAACCACGTCCCCCTTTGCCTGCTGTGTCCCGCCTTTCAGTCCATGGATGTTTCTACATGTTAGAGATGTGCCAGGGTTCTCATTTCCCAAACATTCTTTCCCAGAGAAGGACGCAGGTGAACCACGAGTCCTTCTACATTCAGGATGTGGCGAGAAAGCCAGGTTTTCCTGCCCTATCCTCCCTCCCCTCAACAAAAGTGAGCCTTCCTCTTTTATACCAGTCTGAGCAGTGCAGAGTAGGAAACAAACAGCTCTGTTTCTCCCTCTCCTTCCTCAACAAATGTGTTTCCCTGCAAAGCAACTTCACTATTTGTGTGTGGTTGTCAGTGCCCTCCATGGCAGCTGGCTGCAGGACAGTCTGGGGCTAACCTATAACATTCACAAGACAGCCCCGTGGATGGAGAGAATCACTCATGAACCCCAGCAATTATGATGTTTCTTTCTTTTATTCTAATAGAGTAACTCTCAATGTCTCTCCAGCTAAGTTATTTATCAAATAAAAAGTTCATATTCCATACCTAATTAGATTTCTTTGTAAGCTTTGACTGATCCATCCTATAGATCTGGGTTGTTGAGAATGCAATGACATATGAGAAGATGAAATGAAAGCGAGTTCATTTGGGGAGTTAATGCTTTAAAGTTGAAACTTCTTGGGACTGGTTCAGAGAAGGCTTCATTTCTGGGAAAGAAAAACAAAGAAAGATGAGATGGGAAGAAGCGAGAGATCATATAATTTGGTTTAATGGGGACTGTTTGGGGAGCTGTGGCTTTCAGCCATGCCTGTAAAATCCTCTTTTGACTACATCTGAGGACTGCATGAGAATTTTTCTGCTAAAGATTTAGTATTTCAGTTATGTATTACTGCATATCAAACCATCCCCACATGTGGTGCCATAAACCTGCCCCCATTTCATTGTGCTTGTGAATTCAGTGGGTCATGAGTCTGAACAGGACAGAACAGGGTGGCCTCCCGTCCTCAGTCTCTAAGGCCTCAGCTGGAAAGACTTGAGTGGTCAGGCATGATGCTGAGGGCTGGGGCTGAGTGGGGCCTTCTGAAGGTGCTGTTACTCGATGCCTGGGCTTGATGGCTGGGAGGCTGGATCCTGTTGGAGTGCTGACCACAGTTCCTCCTCCTCACCTTTTTGCCTGGTTAGGTAGCTCACAGCATGGTGGCTGGATTCTAAAAGAGTGAGCCTGTGATGGAATATTTTGTGTGTCATCTTGGGTAGGCCATAGCAGATACTTGGTCAAACACCAGCCTCGCTGTTACTGTGATGGCATTTTTAGATGAGATGAGCATTTAAATCAGTAGACTCAGAGTAAAGCCAATCAGGTTTTATCGTGTTGGGGGGCCTTGCCCAATCAGTTGAAGGTCATATAGCAAAAAGACTGAGGTGCCCTGAGGAAGAGGGATTTCTGCCTCCTGACTGTGTTTGGATTCGAGTTACAGCACCAGCTGTTTCCTAGATCTGCAGCCTGACAGCCTGCTTTGCAGATGTTGGACTTGCTGGTATCCGCAATTGTGGGAATGGATTCCTTAAGGTAGATCTCTCTGTACACACATACACACACACCCACTCCCTATTAGTTCTGCTTAAGAAACAATAATCGATAAGGGCCCAGGAGAGAGTCTCAAGAGAGATTATTAGAGCAGCTGAAGACCAAAGTGTCTAGGTCACTTCCCCAGGCTCTGTTGGTGGAGCCCAGATTCGAGGAGAGGGGAGGTAGCCTACCTCTCCAGGGGAGGAATGTCAAGGAATGTGGAACCATAGTTTGTAGCCTCCACACCATGAAACTGCAGTGGCCCTTTGACAGCCAGGTCCATACAGAGGGCAAGGGTTCCCAGTAATTGTCTAGGAGCTGGATGAAGAGCAGAGATGAAGAGCACACCTGTGCTAAGAGCCCCAGCACCACCGCACAGCCTGTGAACACATCCTCTTAGAAGAAGCCCATTTGCACCTACGTCTCCGTAGGGCCGAGTCGTCAAGGTGAACTACTGTCGCTGAGCTTTGGGAGAAACCTGTGGCACAGATCATGGGATCTCAATATCTGACACAGTAGGTAACTTGGAAGAGGGCATAGAGGCAAAACCTAACATTTTGTGGATTAGGTTGTTGGGTGGCCAAAAACATGGGCGACAAGGTCCTCCCTCTGCTCCCTGTGCACCAGGTAATACAATAAATTCTTTCAAGGTCTCATTTAACCTTTGAAATAAGCATGTAAAGTAGTGTCTCAGGAATCTACTGTAGAACAAATCACTCCAACAGTCATTTCATCATCCATCCTCGTGGTCCTGGGGTAGAGTAGGCTCAGCCGGGCTTTTGCTCAGCTGTGGTCAGAAGGCAATGAGGGCAGGAGTTCTTTCCAGGCTCGCGCACTCACTGTGGATGTGCCATCTGCTGGGACCTCAGCTGGGGCTATCATCTGGAAAGCCTGCATGGAGTCTCCAGGTGGCTGCTCGGCTCCAAGCAAGAACATCCCAAGAGGGTCTAGCAGAAGCTGTGTGGCCTCTTATGACCTCACCTCAGAACCACAAAGTGTCACTTCCACGGCGTTCCGTTTGTTACCAGTGAGTCACAAAGGCCAGCCCTCATTTGGGGTAAGGAGTGTCAAAGAATTTGCAGATGTGTCTTAAAACCATCACAGGCAGCATGAATTTCTCTCACTATACAGACGAGGAAACCAAAACCTGAGAGATTGAGTTGATTGTGATGGTGCACACAGCTAGCAAGCAGCAGAAGTGAGGTGTGAAACCAGCTTGGCCAGGGTCCGAAGCCTGTGCATACAACCACCATGCCACCCTGTGTCTCTGTAAGCCAATATTTTAGCAGGGCATATGCTACATAGATACATAGGAACAGAATTTGAGATTGAAAGGCATGAGAAAGAACTAATAAACTATTCCAAGAGCAGGCAAGGAATGGTCTTGTACCACTAAGAGAGGTCAGAAAAGGCTTCCCACGGCAGGTGGACTTGGCAGAGTGGGTAAGATATGGATGCGCCGAGAAGCTGGAGGGGGACAGGAACATGCGGCAGGGGTGGGCTGGGAGGCAGGTTTTTTAGGTAGAGACACTGGACATGTGGAGGCAGGAACATACCTGGTAACCCTAATAACAACCCAGCATGCATATGGTAATTCACAGAAGAAGAAAATGAAGGAGATGTGGACTTGCACCTGATATAAAAGTGCTTAAATGCCAGGTTGAGGCCTTTTGCTTTCATTTAAAGCTATGCTTCTCCAAGTGTGGTCCCTGGACCAGCAGCTGTAGCATCACCTGGGAACTTGCAAGAAATGCACATTCTTAGCCCCACCCTCGACTTATGTTTTAACAAGTGCTCTAGGGGATTCTGATACAGCCTTGAGTTTGAGACCCTCTGCTCCTAGGTATGGGGGCAGGGGACGTGGGGACCCAGCAGTTTTGAGCGAGAGAGTGCAATAATCTGAGTTGCTCTTCAGCAGATCACCCTGGCTGGGGTGTGCTGGGCAGACTGGAATAAGAGAGCAAACCTTTGTCACCAAGGAAGGGTAATGCAGGGCTGAACTAGCACAGGAGGAGAGGAGGAGGGCAGGCAGGAAGGGCCCAGCACTGGGGCCCTGCAGCCTTGGTACTTGGCGATGGTGAGGAGAGAAAGTTCTTCCTCACAGCGTCCCCTGTGGAGCTCACAGGCACAGCCAGTTACTTAGAATTTCTCTAAATATTTGAACCACATGGCCCAGGAATCTGGGTATAAACTCAGGACATAGGGGTTGAGTTCCAGGCTCAGTTTCCTATTACACAATCAAGCAACTCTCTGCATTTTGCCTCTGGGAAAGCATTGCTTGGTCAAGCATTTTCTTTCAGCCCTTCATGCTTCATTGCAAGGCCTTTTGGCTAGACTCAAGGACCACTGATTTTTCTAAGCCACCTTTGCAAAATGGGTTTAAAAATATGATCTACCACATTTGGTTGAAAATTAAGTGAGATAATTCTTCACACTGAATACTTAGCAGCCACTTTTATTATCATCCTCATTATCATTATCATTATTACTCACTCATTCATTCATCCAAGCTCTATTTGCTGTGCACCCGCTATGTGCAATGCTTTGGGAACATAGTGGTGAATTATCATGACCACTCCTCTGGGTCTCTCTCTCCTTCATTGCCAGTTTACCTGTGAGATGGACAAGAACATGGGTCTTAGAACCTCATAAATTGGATTAGAGCTCTAAATTGTATAAAGCATTAACTTTATAATCTTAGAAAATTGTATCTCTAGGGCTCTTAATTTACCTGCAAATGGGATTGAAAGACTTGTTTTGTGTCACATGATTGTGGGAGGATGAAATGAGAAAAAAGATGAGGAGGCATTTGGAGGATGGTAGTGGCTGTGCACCCTCAGGAAGTGCCAGAATTCCTGCTTCTCCCTTTCCCCTCCCTCCATCCCGTGTCCTCTCCTTGGCCTGTTCACTCTCGGAGCTTCCCACTCTCTCTGGTCTCTAGGCCCAATTCCACACTGTAGTGTTTCACATTTCCCTGTCTTTGCTTCTGGGCTGCTCCCAGATGCTCTTCCAATTCAGTGAAAGCCAATTAAGTAAGCAATCAATTTGCTGAATGACTAATTCAGTGAACACACTGAATATACAGATTTGTCAACAACTTGCTTCTTTCCACTCTCTAGAGTATGTGGCAGTTCTTACTGAAAGTGATGATGGTCATAGATATTCAAGGAGTATTTCATTTGTGCTGCTGTGGGGATCATGGAGGTACCAGAGCATAGAGGACTTTTCTGATGAAGGAAAAGTCAGCAACAGAGGCCTGCCTGGAGGCTGCCTCAGAGCAGGAGGGCCAGAGGGAGCAGGAAACCATGGAGGCCACAGAACCTCAAGCCCCCAACTCCTATAGGCCTCTTAGGCTCTGCCAGTTCATCCAATAGAAATCACTGGAGGCTTTAATAAATACATTTTTTAAAGATCTATTCACTGATCAGCGTGTGGTCCGCTGGCCTTGAGGGACTTGCTGAGGCCCAGACAGGCCCTACCAAGCGGATTTTCAGCCACTTATGAGCAAACATGGCTGAGCCCTGATCTTAACAGCACAGGGATTAGCATTGTCTCTGACCGTTGCCTGCCCTTCAACTTGAATCTATACCTCAGTGCACTTACCAAGGTCCCAGCAGAGGCCACAGAGGTGAAGGGAGAGGGATTCTCTAGAATCCCAGATGTGGGATTTGGGGCCACCTGGAAGGGTCCGGCCCCTGAATGTTTTAGGTAACATCTCGCTGTATTTACTCTGTCTGAACCTTCCCCAAAGCTACCACTTTCCCCACCTGTTTCAACAATTTTTTCTTTTCTCAGCCAAGATTGAGGGTCAGAGGACTTTCTGCATTCACAAATGTCCTCTGCATTTCTCAGCTTCCAGGCTGGGCTCTAAGCACCATGGCTCAGAGCGCCTTCATTCTCCTCTCCTTTTCTGCTTTGCATCTGTGATTGTGCTAGTTGTCCCGGACCTGTGCTTGTGAGATGTGTCAGCTGCAGTTCCACTGAGCACGCATGTGCTCACTACTGTAGCTTCTCTCCACCAGGAGTAAGATGGGGGTTCCCAGAGTAGAGGCAGCCAGGAGGTCCAGGTGGGCACACCTTGGTGAGGCTGAAACTGTCACACCCTCCCCTCTTGCTCCTGTATGAGGAGGAGCAGAAAAAAGGCACGTCTAACAGAAAGGTTGACTGCTGGGGTCCAGTGATCACATCCTGCACCATGAGCTCCGCAAGAGGACAACCCCTACCAAGGTGGGAGGATGGTGAAGGTCACACCTTAGGGTTTTAATTTGCCTCCGGGGAAAAAGGGCCATAGGCCAGAGGAACTTGCCTAAGACACACTCCAGGAAGGACGAAGGTGAAAGGGGCCACTCTGTGCAGCTGGTCCTCTCCAAGGCAGGGTCCTGAGCACATCAGGCCCCCAATCCACCCAGCAGAGTCATTGGCTAAATTCTAACCTGGCCATATCTCACACCTCACCAAACATTCCAGCAGCCCCTCATCCTCCACGACAATTTCCAAGCTCCCCAGTCTGGCACATACAGCCTTTAGTATCAGGATCCTATGTATGTCTCCAGCCTAACCGCCTATGTTGGTATTTCACTAAGCTGTACCCTATCTCTCTGTTTTTGCACATGCTGGGCCGCCTGAGTGAATGTCTGCCCATGCCCTTTTGTTGCAAGGGTAGCTCTTACCAAGCATTTTAGTCTGCTTGGGTTACCATAGCTAAGTACCACAGACTGGGGGCTTACACCACAGGATTTATTTTCTCATAGTTCTGGAGGCCAGAGGTCCAAGATCAGGGTGTCAGCAGGGTTTCCCCTGAGCAGATGCCGTCTTCTGCCTGTGTCTTCATGTGGTCTTCCCTCTGTGGATGCCTATGTCCTAATCTTATAAGAACAGCAGTGATGTTAAATTAGGGCTCACCTTAATGATCTTATTTTAACGTAATTACCTCTTTAAAGACCCTGTCTTCAAACACCGTCCCATGCTGAAGCATTGGGGGTTAGGGCTTTAACATAGGAATTCTTTTCAGGGGACATAATTCAGCCTGTAATAGGAAGTCCAAGGTAGGGGGACTAATTGCTCTGCTTTGAAGGGTCCAGGGGAGCTGACCCCAGCGCAGTCCCTGCAGCCCCAGTCTGGGTCCAGGCCCCCATCTGGGCCTCCCTCTGTGTCTTTACCATACCCTTCAACTCACTGGTTCCTCTGAGATTCTCTGCTGATGCAGTATGAACTCTGGAGTGTAGGGGCCGTTTCCCATTCACCTTTCTACCCCAACACCTAGCATATATTAGGTGCTCATATGTGCAAAGGAACTAACACCTGTTCCCTGGGTGGTTTCTGGTCCTTCCTGTACTCATGCCCCTTGCTGGAATGCCTCTCACCCTTCCCACTTTAACTCAAAGGTTTTTTACATCAGACCCATGATAAAGGCCGAGATGTAATGCAGAAAACCATTCCAGATTCTTCCACCAGGGTTGACTGGGCTGGTTTCTCTTCCTTTGTGCACAGAGCTCTCCCCACCCGTTGTCCTCTGCCTTGGGTTTGGTTATATGGGGTAGGTTTTGCTATGAACACCTCTCATCCTCTCCAAAGATGGGAGAGCAGGAACCACCTCCAACCCATCACTAGGATGACCACACCCCCTGGGTTTTAGCCACTGCAGCTCACAAAGCCCTTCTTGGAATGCTCTCATCCTCTCAAGAACGAAAGTGGAAATCAAGGCAGAGGAGGAAGTGAAGCCCAGAGAAGACTCACAGCCTAGGTGGGTCACACAGCAGCACAGGTCTGCGGGTGAAGCTTCAGGTTGCAAATCTGCCCGAGGCTGCTGGACTTGCCCCAGAACACGTAGCCTGCTGATGTCTGTCCCCACCTGCCTTACTCCTGTCCTACATTTTGCATCATTGAAACCCCTCACTAGCCTGGGGCTTTCTAGGGATGGGAGTCTCCAACTCCTCTGTGCTGATATAGTGTCTGGGACACAGTCCCCATGAGACACGTCTCCAGAATTTCCTAACTGATTTTGATCACCGACTCTGTGCCCATCTGTGAT